CAGGTCATGCCAACGAGGGATCTCAGTGGCGTCCGGGAACTGGGCACACCAGGCGTCCGTCAGGCGACCGAAGCAGTGCTGGGTGGCGTGCAGGCCGCCACACTGCTCTCCAGTGCGGTCGCCGGTGCGCAGGACGTAAGTACAGGGACCAGCACCTCCAGCCCCCTGACGCCCCGCGTACCACTCACGAAGCTGCTGAGGCGAAGGGGTCCCACGAGAGCGCTGCTGCTGCTGGGGTCCCCGCTGCTCAGCTCCGCCTCTGCCGGCTCCACCTCCGCCGCCGCCGCCTCCGCCTCCTCCACCCCTCCCACCACCGCCACCGCTGCCTCCACCTCCACCGCCGCCACCGAAGCCCCCACCTCTGCCACCACCCCCACCCCCACCCCCTCCTCCGCCGCCTCCGCCACTACTGCCGCCCCCACTACCTCCTCCAGCTCCCCTGCCCCGCTTGCCCTTGCTGATGCGGCGCCTCTCACTAGGAGCAGACGTAGCGCTGGCCGACTCGGTGCCAACAAGGTCGACAGCAGCAGCAGAGGCAACAGAGGGCAAAAGAGGAACGGGGGAGCACCCCTCAAAGAAAGGGGTACGGGGGTCACCACGAGAGGCGCCTACAGCGGTAATACTAGTCTCTGCTGCAAGGAGGCGCTCCTCAAGGAGGTCGACAGTGAGGGTGGTAGGGCAGAGAGAGAGGAAGTGGTCCCTGACCGAGCGGAGAGTGTCAGGGAGTCAAGTGACTAGGTAGTAGAGGGTGATGTACATGGGGGGGGGGTTCTGGGCGCAGAACTCAGCAGGGAGCGCAGCGCGGTAGCGAGTGTCACTAGTGCGGAGGTGCGTAATGAGGTCAGTGACTGTGGCAAAGGCAGCGAGGTCAGGGAAAAGGTACGGGAGCATGAGGCGGCTAAGCGCAGCAGTGGCAGGGGAAGAGTAGCGTGCAACTACAGCGTCGTACAGAGTCCTAGCACTCTTGTACTGACTAAAGTGCGCGCGCTCAGTAGCCGGTAGGTGACTGCGCACAGCAAGGCGGGCAGCAGCATCGCGCGTGAGCCACTGCGAGCGAACGGTACTGTCAGCATCAGCAGCAGGGGCAGTAGAGGCGCCCGACGTAAGGTCAAACAGGGAGAGGCCATCTCTGCTATCGCACTGAAGGAAAAGCTGCAAGTCATCGAGCCAGACATCAAATGCAACCGCTCGACCCTCAGCATCAAAGGTGAGAAGGGTAGGACTACCATGTTAGGAGCAGCAGGAGACTAGCAGCGGCAGCAGTGCAACTGAGCTAGGCAGGACAGCGCGACTCGGCAGGGCGACTCGACAGCGCAGTGCGGCTCGGCCGCGCGGCTCGGCCCGGCTAGGTCTCACCAGGGGCAGAGCCGAGAGTTCGGGGCTGGGTCGGGGCCGGAACAGGGCCGGGACAGGGTCGGGGCCGAGTAGGGTCCGGGACAGGGTCGGGGCCGAGCAGCAACGGGGCCGGGACAGGGTCGGGGCCGGGGCAGGTCCGGGACAAAGTCGAGGCCGAGTGGCCGCGGCAAGGGCCGCGTCAGGGACAGGGCCGGGCCGGGCCGTGCAGGGACGGCGTAGGGGCCGCGTCAGGGGCGGCTGAGGGCCGCGTCAGGGGTGGCGTAGGGGCCGCGTAGGGGCGGCTAGGGGCGGCGTCAGGGGCGGCATAGGGGCCGCGTCAGGGGCCGCGTAGGGGCCGCGTCAGGGGCCGCGGCAGGGGTCGCGTCAGGGGCCGCGTCAGGGGCCGCGGTAGGGGCGGCGCAGGGGCCGCGTCAGGGGCGGTGCAGGGGCCGCGTCAGGGGCGACGTAGGGGCCGCGGCAGGGGCGACGTAGGGGCCGCGGCAGGGGCGACGTAGGGGCCGCGTCAGGGGCGGCGGAGGGGCCGCGTCAGGGGCGGCGTAGGGGCCGCGTCAGGGGCGGCGTAGGGGCCGCGTCAGGGGCCGCGTAGGGGCCGCGGCAGGGGCCGCGTCAGGGGCCGCGTCAGGGGCCGCGTCAGGGTCCGCGTCAGGGGCCGCGTCAGGGGCCGCAGTAGGGGTCGCGACAGGGGCCGCGTCAGGGGCCGCGTCAGAGGCCGCGGCAGGGGCCGCGTCAGGGGCCGCGTCAGGGGCCGCAGTAGGGGCCGAGTAGGGGCCGCGTCAGGGGCCTCATCAGGGGCCGCGGCAGGGGCCGCGTCAGAGGCAACGTAGGGGCCGGGTAGGGGCCGCGTAGGGGCCGGGTAGGGGCCGCGTAGGGGCCGGGTCGGGGCCGCGTAGGGGCCGCGTAGGAGCCGCTAGGGGGCCGCGAAAAAAATAAAAAATTTAGGGCAGGGCGCAATGCGCTTCGGGCAGCTAAAAGAAAATTCTTATGGTGGGCCCTTAGGAAGGAACGGTCCCATGTAGGAACCCGCTCTATACCATGTTGAGATAGGAGCACAAGTGGTAGTTAAGTTTAGGTAGGGCCTAGGCTTAGTAGCCTAGGCCAAGGGGAAGTCGAGAAAGTTGTGCCAAGGAGAAAGTCGAGAATGGGAATGAATGAACTAGGAAAGTGTGAGATACAAATATGAAAGCTGTACCCCTTAGTGTCTACCCCACTACAGCCTACATAGGATAAGGCATATACATCTGACAGCGAGCGCTTGCAGCATTTCCAGGAGGAGCAGAGGCCAGGGCACCCGGCGCCGCAGGATGAGATTCAGCTGCCACTGGGGCAACCACGGGCAGAACACTGCGATGGGGATCCGCGGGCGACGGTGTCGCTCGCAGCGAACTGCTCTGACTCGCTGAGCCAGTACGACCGTCGCGAATCGCCGCGGTCACGATATGCCGCACATCTGCAATCGACGCTGGCGCATCATCGCCTCCCCAGCCACCCCCGTAACCGCGACCCCCCCTCCAACCACCACGCCCGCCGCGATGCGCAGGCCACCCCGCCTGCGGTTGGCGGCGCCAAGGTGAATCCCGCCGGCGCCGAATTGTCTCCCTCTCATTGCGTGGGGAGGGCGAGTGCGGACGAGAGGGTCGGCGGGCAGGAGATTGCGGGTGACGCTGCGGATCAGGTAACACCTGTCCGGTCGGAGGAACGGGAGCGTCAGCGACCGTCCCCGGGGGCTGGACGACAGTGGTGGCGCACACCGCTGGCCTTGGCGTCACCGCGTCCGCGACAACCGCCGGCGCTACGCCAGCAGGCGGAGTGGACGGTGCGGCAGCGGGAGGGCCCGCAGCCGAATCCGGAACATCGGCCGTCACGGCAGGTAGAGCAGCGGGAGCAGCGGGAGGTGACACCGATGGCGCACGAGCCTGCTGGTCGGCCCGAGCAGGCGGAGGGGGCACGACCACGTGAAGCCCGGGTTCGGGGAGATGAAGGATTTCAGCATCTGCTTTTTCGGTCGTCGGAGCAGGCGGCAGCGGGGTCTTCGTCGCCATGGTCTCCGTTCCGCGCTCAGACGGGGGTCTTTCGGGCATAGTTGACGCAGCGGCAGCGCGCACTGGCGAACACTCGGGCGCTCCAGCAATCACCATCCCGGGGTCGTGGAGGGCGCGGCAGGGGGCGAGTGACGGCTAGCGGGGTTGGCGGCGGACCTGAGAATGGGTTTCAGGCGACCGGGCGACGGGCTTTAACGGATCTAGGGGTAGCTAATCCAGAGGCTAATTATCCGGACGAGATAGCAGATCCTACTTATAGGGAGGAACAACTCCCGCTGAGCGAGAGTGACGGGGAGGATAACTTAGCGCCTGGAGTGACTAGGCCTGGGGAGCAAAGAAGGGCAGTGGACGAGCTGGGGGCCTTAGGAGGCCCAGCCGATACGGTGCGTACGACTAGGCTCCCAACCACAACACGAAATGAGGAACCCAGCCGTAATCGCGGAAATCGAGCCGCGCGAAGTGACCAGGCGGTGCCAAACCTGCCACAAATTCCCCGCTACTTTTCGCCAGACGACTTGGCAAAGCGAAGTGATTTATTTGCCGCGGTCGCGAACCGGGACATCACGGCACTTCGCGACAGTCGTCAGGCATCCCTGTCACGACGATTACCGCCCAACCTGTGTCAGTTATTCTCGCTCGCGTTACTCACCCCACTCCTCCACCTTTCGCGAAATCCGGACTCAGTCGCAGGGTGGCGACTCCTGCTATTTCTACCACGACTCATGCTTCGTCAATCATCGCCCAGGCGACCCAACTGGTCCACGGTCAAGGCTCGGCTCAGAACCTTCCAGCGTGGCGAATGGGAGCAGTTGCACGCTGACGCCACCGAGGCAGTCAACACCCCACCGCCGCCACGCCACCAACCAGATGACGCAGGCACTGTCAGTAGGGCTGAGGGGCTGGCCAAACGCGGGAGCTTGCGACGAGCCGTGCTGGCACTCGAGTCAACGCCGGTATGCACACCCTGCCCTGCCATCTTGCACCAACTCCGCGAGAAACACCCACCAGCCGACAACGAGGAGCTGACATGGCCGCGCGCGTCAACTCCGAACCTCGCCATCACCCACGATGACTTCGTCAAACTCTTGAGCCGATGCGAAAATGGCGTAGGGGCAGGGCCGTCAGGAACGACATTCGAACACCTCCGCGACGCATCGATAACCAATGCAACGGTCTGCACCCACCTTCACGCCTTGGTCAACACATTGCTCGCTGGAAATTTACCCGGACCAGTGGCGGACCTACTGACTGCTTCACGCCTCATCGCCCTTTCCAAACCTGGGGGTGGCGCCCGACCAATCGCAATTGGCGAATGTCTGACTCGCCTCGTAGCAAAGGCGGCATTGACTGTCATGGGGGAGTCTGCACGTGACCACTTTCTGCCACTACAGTACGGGGTGGCAGTGCCAGGTGGCGCCGAAGCAATCATTCACGCAGCCCGTTCCTTCACTGACTCGCGACCCCAATGCCTGGTACTACAGACCGACATTGCGAATGCTTTCAACAGCATTTCGTGACAGGCAATTATCGACGCGATCCAGGACAACAACCTCTCGCCCCTACTCCCATTGGTCAACAGCTGCTCCTGGACGCAAATTTCGACAGCCCCCCACTGAGTAGCGAACGGGGTGTTCGACAGGGCGACCCGCTTGGCCCGCTCCTTTTTGCAGCCGGAATACACCCTGCACTACGCGAGATAGCCGCAACACACCCGAAAGTTCTCTGCTTGGCGTACGCAGACGACGTGACGTTCATGGGGGAACAGGAGAACACAGTAGCCGCCTTCACCTTCTTCACCGACAAACTGGCGCACCTGGGCCTGGCCCATAACCCGGAGAAATGCGCAGCTTGGAGCTCGGCCACAGTCGTGACTACCCAGCTACCACCCGGGGTCCCTCTTTCCAAAGAAGGGGTGCGCCTCCTCGGTAGTTACCTGGGCCCCGCCACCGGCGCCGCCAATTTCCTAGCGGGGCAACTGGAGGAGATGGCGAAACCGTTACCACTCCTCGAACGAGCCGACCCCCAAGTTGCCTCACTGCTGCTAACCCGCTGCATCTCCAGGCGGGTAGCCTACATCACCAGAACAACCCCTCTCAACCTCCTCTCCCGCAACACGTGGTCTCAATGGGGCAGAGACCTGTTAGCCACGCTACTCACCTCATGCGGCATTCGGGTCCCCTCGTGCAGCACGGAACACTCACGGGTTTGGGCACAGGCGTCGCTCCCTCCTTCTCTAGGTGGGATCGGCATTACGGATCCCCTAGTAGAAGGTGTGCACGGCTTCTTGGCGAGCTTCACCCAGGCGGCGCTTTTCCTCAAATCATTCACACTAGCGTCGGATAGTGCCCTGGCACAAGCCCGGAACCACATGCTACTGCCCCGGGACGTAACCTCGCCACTACACACCTGGCTCACTGAGTGCGAACTGGCTCTGCCGACTGACGCACGAGAACTGCTGGAAAAGGAGAGACTGGCGCGGTCGGATCTGAGGCTCCAGCACGAGCTTGCTTTAAGAGTCCAGGGGAGCAGATACGCCGTCCAAGTCCAGGAGAGTAGGCGCATGAGGCCGAACCCGCTATCCGGCCACACCCAACGTCTGTTCTCACTGACCGGATACGGCACTGGAGATTGGCTGACCGCCATCCCCATCGCAGCCAATCGGCGCATTGGACCCGTACACTTCGCTAACGCTGTTTGCTTCCGGCTCGGCCTCCCATTCTCTACGCCGGCGAACTGCGACTGCACGGACCAAACAGCCATCCCCGACCCACGTCTACCAAACCATCTCTTCCACTGCGGCACGGGCAAACACCGCATTAACACCCACAATGAACTCCGGGACGCATGCATCAGCATGGCCCAAGATGCGGGGTTCATAGTCCACAGCGAGTCCGCAGCCTTCTGCCCGATCGAGGAACAAACGGCAGACTTCACCATGAGTGACCGTAGCAGCGGGGCGGTCTGGGTGTGCAATGTTACAATCACAGATCCCATCAGCACTAGGATCCCGAGGCAATGAAAGGCAGGGGATGGGCGGCCCGGGAGCAGGCTGACAAGAAAATCAAACACTACGCTAACCGACCGGAGACCGTGGGGTTCTTCCCTTTGGCTGTAGAAACCTACAGATGCCCGTGTGCTGAAGTCCCGGTCTTCCTCAAGCTACTAGCGGACACGGCGGCTCGGCGATACTTCAACGCCGACTCAAAATCATTCCAAGCCGCCAAATTCCTGCACCAGTTCCAACAGAGGTGGTCGGTTGCATTGCAGAGGGCCCAATCGGTTGGTTACCTGCTGAAGTCGAGTGAGGCAGCGGCTGCTGAGAACCCACCTGTGGGAGGGATTGGGGCAGAGCTGTATCTGGGAGACTGCTTTGCAGTCATTGAGCCTCCCTAGCCTGGTCCTTAGTCCTTAGCCATTCTCAGCAGTGTTTCCCTAGTATAAAGTCCCGAGTTCCTTGCCCATGGGGCTCATTCTTCACTGGTGAGTTCTTACCACTCTCCAAAAACGGCGACTTGCGCCGGCCGCCTACGGCGGCCGCCGCTCGCTTGCGCGGCCTACGGCCACGCATGAGGTGTGGCAAGGACAGAGATAAAGACGTTTATAACATGGAGCAATACACAAGGAAAGTGTAGACAATACCACCTTCAACAGCAACCCCAAGCGTGGTGTACACGCTATGGGGAAGCCCAAGGCCAGGCTGGGAACCAAACAGACAGGCCTAGGGACGACAGCTGCTACTCAGCCAGGATCCAACACAGCCGCCCGTCCATCCACCGCAGCATAGAGGCGGCAGCTGGCACAATGTCCCGTGGGGATTGCAGGGCGGCAAGAGCCAGCCGCCTCAAGGAAGCAGGGCCAGGCCCCAAGGCTGAGCCAGGGGAGCTCGGCACCAGCCCGATTGCGGGCAGCATCCGCAGCATCTCCATTGCTGCCGCCACGGCCTCCTCCTGCTCCTGCTGCGACATTGCCGGGTACCCCTCCTCGGGACGCACCTGACGTGACTGGTACGCGTGGAACTGGTCAAGGACCATTGCCAAAAGAGATAGACACGTCCCCACGTGCCCAACGCGCTGCTCGACGCGAAGTGCCCGTCCGACAGGGGGAGAGTCCTCCCACAAACCCCAGCGGTGCTGCGGGGCCTGAGCCTGATGAGCCCCTTGACAAGTGGGTGGCGAGGACCCTGACGGGACGGTCCCGCGGGGCGGGGGGGTACTTGATGACGAGATCTCCCCCGGAGACAGCGCTGGGGGAGGATCGAGTTGGACAAATGAAGGTGGTGACAGAGGCAGCGGAGGCGGCGACATCTGGAGGGGCTGCAACAGGGTGGGAGGTGGAAGGGGAGTTAGCTGCCGAGACTGCCGCTTCCTCTGGCGGCGACTCAGCCTCACACCGTGCGACGGGCCCCGCTGTGATGCTACTTCCTGAAATACACGGACGGGTAGAGGAGCAGGAACGTGCAACGGAGGCAACGGAGGTGACGGGGCCCGCTCCACAGGCACAGACAGTGGTGATGACGGATGCTGCAGTGGGAGCGGACATAGGCCCAGTTGAGGGAGGCGCAATGGTTGGCGCTGGGTCTGCCAAAACGCCTGCTGCCACCGTGGGCGCAGACACGCAGGGGTGCGACCAGGTGGCGGGCGATACACGGGGGCGTGGGAACGGCGTTGCTGCGCACGCCACTCACGGGATTGCAGGAAGAAGTTCCGCGCCCAGCCAGCGCCGAGGCGGCCCGGTGCAGGGCTTGTCCCGGGCCACCCGGGACCCCTCCTGGGCTGGCTTCTGCAAGGACAGACGCCACAATCGCAGTTGCATCAACTGCCATCTGTGGGGTCAGGCAGCGGGAGAAACGAAGGGGAAGTCGGTGTCAGACAGGCGGGGATTCTAAGCGACGGGGCATGAAACATTCCGCCGGCCGCGGTGATACAACAAGAACCCCAGCATGAAACGCGGAGCTCCACACGAGCACGAGGCATCACCTGGGGCCAGCCACGGGGAGGCCTGACTAGACGGCCATACTCACCGTGGATCCCGGCGGGGAGAACGCCACAAGCGGGGGAAAACGGGCGGATCAATGAGCCCCACGGAAGAGGTGGAGGGACGTCCCGTGGGGCCCGAGGCGGAGATCGTGGGGGACGGGGCGGAAGACGGGGCGGAGGTGCAACCGTCGGGGGAAGAGAGGCATTGGTGAGATCTGGAACATGGCGGGAATGCCACGAACGCCCAGAACAAGAGGCGCCACCGACGAATCAGGAGGGGAGGGAATCTGACAACAATGATGACGGGGACGACTATGTAGCTGAAGCATCGCAAGCCTCAGAGACGATCTCGCTTGAGGAGGAGGGAGACGTGACGAGAAGATTCCGAGGAAGAGTTACGAGAGGGCGAAACCCTCAGGATGGAAACCACCAGGAGGGAGGAGAGACAGGAGCAGCAGCGGGTATGAGCCAGGGAGATTCAGGAGAACCAAAGGTGCAGTCGCCGGCCGACCTAGCAGCCAACGATGCCATCTCGCAGCTGGCAGGAACGTGGGAATTGGCACCTCTGCAGCGAGGGGACCAACCTTTTTTGGTTCGGAGAATGCCCCCCAAAATTCAGGAGAGTTACACCCTCTGTATCCTGGCACCACTCCTGCGCCTAGCAAAACACCCCGATTGCCCGGGTGCGTGGGCGATCCTGCAATTCCTCCCGAGGCTGACCCTTCGACCGCTTCCCGAACTAGTGGAAGGAAGCCGATGGACGGGGATCGAGGGTAGGCTACACCAGTTCCAGCAGGGCAGATGGGGGGAACTCTTCGAAGAGGCAAAAGTCATCCCCGACATAGACATCCGACACGACACCAAGCGGATGAGGCTGGACTTTGTGCTAGAGCTGAGGGTTTGATGAAGAAGGGTAACATCTCGAAGGCGGTCGCAGCGTTACGGACGACCCCACTCGCCGAGGCCACACCGACGACACTCGCTGCACTGCAGGCGAAACACCCCGATGCTGCCTTGCCCACCTCGCCCTACGTTGCTGGCTACACCCTCTTGGCGCTGAGAGTGACCCCTGACGACCTTCGCGAAATACTTAAGCGATGCCCGAACGGAGTGGGAGCAGGGCCTTCAGGCACCTATTTCGAACACCTCAAGGACCCGGCGCTAGCGAGTGAAGAGGTGCTCATACTCCTCGCTAAAACAGTCAGCCACCTCCTTAGTACATTCCAGACCCAGGCCGTCCGCTAGGTGCTCCTTCCCTCGAGGCTCATTGCCCTGGAAAAGCCGGGAGGCAGCGTTAGACCTATCGCGATAGGAGAAGCAATACTTCGCATCGTGGCAAAAGCAGCCCTGAAAGAATTATCGCAAAATATTCGGGAGTTTTTCCTCCCCGTACAGTTTGGCGTGTCGGTCACTGGCAGCGCAGAGTGCATCATACACGCAGTCCGCTCGTTGCTTATAGAGGACGAGACTCGTGTCGCGCTACAGCTAGACATAGAGAACGCCTTCAATAGCGTGGAACGACCGGGGTTCTTCCAGGCGCTCTCGCAGTCGAACATGTTATCACTCCTGCTGCTAGTACGTACGCTGTACGAGGGCCCGTTCCGGCTTTTAGTGGACCACAGGCTTGGCGTTGACTAGATAGTAAGCAGCCGTGGAGTTCGTCAGGGAGACCCACTAGGTCCGCTCCTCTTTGCCGCGGCGATCCAACCAACAATTTTGAGTACGGCAACATTCCTCCCCGAGGTGGCGATCGTCGCCTACGCTGACGACATCACCATCGTGGGACCCAGAGACGCTGCTTTTGAGGCTTTCATCAACATCACAACGGAGCTAACATCACTCGGGCTCCGCTGCAACATTGCCAAGTCCACAGGGTGGGGACAGAGCACGGAGGAGGGAAGCGAGATCCCACCACCACGGGACCTGCCAATAAACACCACTGGGATAGGAGTTCTGGGGAGCCCGATCGGCACGCCTGCCTTCTGCACTGACCAAGCACAGACACGACTCATGGAGGCGTCCGCCCCGCTACCCCTGATAGCTCGACTCCACCCCCAGCACGCCATGCTCATGCTCTCGCGGAGCATTTCACGCATGATATCCTACATGCTGCGTACAACGCCAGCAGCGGTGCTGGAGAGAGAGGAGTGGAGGTCGTGGAGCGAATCTCTGCTGGGAGCAGCACTAGCAGCAGCGAAACTACGAGTACCGACAAGTGAGCTGGAACAGAGTCTGCTCTGGCGGCAAGGCACCCTACTAGTCAGGCTAGGGGGGCTGGGCATCATCGACCCTTCCTCGGAGGCTCCGGCAGCCTACATAGCGTCAGTCACAGCAGCCCAGCAACTACTGCGACAGATGAACCTGCCGGAGGCATACCTACTGCACAGGGCGATCACGCTACTTGACCACGCTTGGAGCCCCGCGGCACCAGAGGTCAATCAGCTAGCCCCACTGGAAGCAGCACTGCCAGCACCCACGAGGACTGCATTACAGGCTTTCAGGGAGAAGCCGACACGACAGGGTAACCTTCAGCTAGTGCTGTCCCGCCACATCAATGAGAGAAGGGCTGCGGAGCTGCTGTCAGACACAATCACAGACCAACCGGGCACACACCGCGGGCATGCAATACGCCTCATCAGCTTGCAAGGGGTGGGGGCGGGAGATTGGCTACATGCAGTGCCTTCAAGAGCTGACCTTATATTTGCCCCTGGTCAGTTCTCCTTGGCACTGGGCTTCCGCATGGGCATGTCCTTGCCGGTCACTGTGAAGTGCCCCTGCAAGTGCGAGTATTCAGATATCACCGACACAAGCCTACCGAACCATCTCCTTAGGTGTGGGTACGGGGGAGATGTGGTTAGAACACACAACTCACTGGTGTACGCGGCCCTCAGGATGGCAAGGGAAGAAGACTTCACGTGCTTCCATGAGACAGCAGCCTTCTCTCCACCGATCGTTAGGAAGAGAGGGGACCTAGCCGTGAGAGACAAAGAGTCAAATGAGACTTGGGTGACCGATGTGACGGTGACTGACCCCGTGCTCCAGCAACGCGACACAAGGGCACGGAAACCGCCGGGATGGGCAGCTGAGGAAGCTTCTGCAAGGAAACACAGGCTTTATGAGGGACGACCAGACTATGTAGGCTTCTTCGGGCTGGCAGTTGAGACATACGGGGCTCTGGCAACCGACACACAGCAGTTCCTACGCCTCCTTGCCACCTTAGCAGCCAAGAAAAAGTACCACCAGGGGAAGCTGACGACGACTACTGCACGGCTCACCGCTCACTACCGGCGGCGCTGATCTGTGATGCTGCAGCGTTCCTAGGCGACGTCCTACCTGAACAAGTCCAACCTCTCAGATGAGGCGGCGTTCCCCCAGGCCGCCAGGGACCCTTGGGAACCTAGCCTGGGGGACCTATGGCAAGTGCTGGAGGACGATTTGGAGGTGGTAATGGCACAGTAGGTAGGACAAGGGGGTGGTGGGGAAACGGAAGGTGGTGCTAGGGGGTTGATGGGTGGAAGCTGGTAGATAAGGGAACAAGAGTGAAATAGGAAGGAGGTCCACGAGCAGGGCAGGATTATATGGAGCTGCCAGGGTCCTGGACTGGGTGTTTTTGGTTCTACCTGAAGAGAGGGTGTGGTGGTGATAACCATGTTGCAGGAACTATGTGTGCCTTGCTTCACTGCTTGCTATGCCTTGCACTGCTCTGCCTTGTTAGCTCTGCTAGTTTAGCTACCAGGTTGCTCCCATATCTAGACAGTCTTGCAACCATCACCTGCCATGCCTGTACCTTGTGCACCCTATTAATACAGGACTGCTTGAGAGAGAGAACGAGAGAGAGAGAGAACAAAAGAGAATGAACGAGACATAAAAAGAGAGAATGAACGAGAGATAGAGAGAGCGTTCAATAAACTACGGTTTTGAAATAAAACATGAGTTAAAACAAGATCTAAGCCGACCTAGTTTAGATCTAAGTCGTCATAGGTTAGAATCAAGTCGACCTAATTTGTAATGATCTAATTTGGCTCAAAATGATAAGTTATGGTAGTTCTTACCTTGCACTAATAGAATGCATGTCTGGCGGGGAACTCAACTAGCGAGAAGGAGGAGCGGGAGAGAAAAGGAATGAACAAACCCTAAGGCAGTCTCAGATTCGTCGCAAACACTAAGTGACTATAAATTTGGTTATACGTATTGTTTATCAGTGTTGTCGTTGTAAGGATTTACAAATCCTTACTGAGGCACTCGTTAGCGAGGCCATCCCGAGGGTCACACGACGAACCTGTTCGTCCTAATTCGTCGCACCGAACTGTCAGAATGTCATATTTGTCTAGCCTGCAGTGGGGTACTCAATAGTGAGTACAGCCTAATTTAGGGTTTGCTATATGTACTCAACTGCCTGCTAGTGAAACCCCTCTTCTCTGTTTCATTCCTTCCTTTACTAATTTGACATGCTATCAAAGCAGGTCGACCCTCCCGGGTCGATCCTGTGGATGGGCCCACCAGATGCTTCCGCTGCTGCCCTGCCTCTCGTGCGCCTAGGGCGCGCACTGTGTTCCTGCCTGCCGCGCGCTCATGGCTTGCGGCGAGCGCGCGGCGGTTTTCTGTCCGTCGAGCCGCCCTGCAGGCCGCGCGACGCCCTGCCCTGCCCGTCGTACACCGTCGCGCGCCCCGAGGCGTACGACGGTTTCGTCGTCCGTCGTGGCCCCCTCCTGACACCCATCGTGGCGCCCTCGGGGGCCCGCGCGCGGCCCCCTCCTGACGCCCGTCGTGGCGCCCTCGGGGGCCCGCGCGCGGCCCCCTCCCGTCGCCCGTCGTGGCGCCCTCGGGGGCCTGCGCGCGGCCCCCTCTTGACGCCCGTCGTGGCGCCCTCGGGGGCCCGCACGCGGCCCCTTCCTGGCGCCCGTTGTGG